TAAAACTTGTTTCAAGATTTCTACCAATTATATTTATAACCCCCTTAGTTAAAAATAGCCATTTCTAGCCATTGGGGGTTCATTTAATGTTTTGCAGATCAATTTAAGTGTGAGAAAAAACGCTGCAAACTTCTCTAGTAGAGTTGGCTATCATAGTGAGAACATGTTATCTTCCTCCATCTGCACTTTTCATTTTTCTGTTGAGCCAGATGCAAAACACAAAGCCACCTTAGCAAACCTAAGTTCAAAAGATTAAAAAATCTTTGAAAATTTTGACTACTGAACATTAAATGTGTCATCATAGCCAACTGTAGAGTCATAGCTAACTTTATGTTCATTTTCCACGCCTACCAAGCTGTAGGTTTGAACTTTTCACCCGTAGAACTGGTGTTAGCTTTCATAGCTGGCTTTCTGCATTTTTCTTCACTGAAGCTGGCTACAAAAAATAATAGCTAGCTCTCTACACCAATTTCAACATTTTCATTCTCTTTTAGTGCACTCTAAGTTTATTTACTCTTACCAACTTTCAAATCATAAACTACACACTTAGATAAACAAATTAGTAATTCAAGTATATTTTGTAAACATCACAATCATAAGTACAACAAATTTAACGTCTATTATGCCTTATTTGCAAGGACAATATCAATACTTACCATGGGCAAAATACCCAAAGTATAGTGGTAGGGACGGATGTACCTCCGAACAAAAAATGGAGACAAATCGACCCACAAAGTTTTTGACTCAAACAAATCACCCAAAATTTAACGTGTGACGTCATTTGACGTCAAGAATCCATTAATTTGTTATGTCGCTAATAAGTTCATTGTTAACGGATTGTTGATGTCAGATGATGTCATACATTAAATTTGGAGTGATTTGTCCAAGTTGAAAACTTTGTAGGTAGATTTGTTCCCTTTTTTGTTCAGAGGTGGATCCGTCCCTACCACTATACTTTGAGGGTAGATTTGACTATTAATGACATGCCAATGTTTTATTCACAGAAACAACACACAAGCAAGCATTAAATCCGTCATCAAAAAAGGGTTAAATCGCCCAAATCACAAAGTTTAGGTGTTTATTTGGTTCAATAAAAGTTTAAAAACTTAATTAAAAATTTAGAATAAGTTTAGCAACTTTAAGTATGGTTTTGTCACCTAGAGAGAAAAGACCTTGCTAATTGACATAAATGGCTAATTAAGATATTAATTTTATCAATTTAATAATTAAAAGCTTGCTCTAAATTAAGTATATCAATTCTTGATTTTTCATGTCCATTAATAGATTTCAATATTTAATAATGTGAAAATTATTTATTTAAGAAAACTTTATTAATTGCACTAGGCTTCATGGGTCACTTGGTAGAAGCACCCAATGCTTTGACAATGATTAAAGTTCAAACTATGGTGCTACCATACTATAATTTGCCATCTTCTACCTCAAATTGTACTTTAAAAAAAATATTAATTATAGCATGCTTAGTGTAAGATTATTAAAAATTAAATTTCTAAAACACACCCTCTCTATTTCTCTTACGTCCATTTTTGTTTTCCTCTCATCATAGTCATTGATAGTATGCTTTGAAGAATTTGTCAAAAAAATGTAAAAAATTCAAAGGGTGCATAGATAACAATCGCTAAACAATTAAACTACACTAACACAACTAATCTTAAGAAGATGGACACAATCTTAGACTTAAAAAAATTTATGTTTTGTATGTTGTTTGAGAAATAATGTTCTCCATGCAAATTGTTAGGCATAAATTAAAAAATAAATAATAAACCCATACTTTAAATGATTGTATCTTAAAAATGAGTTTATAAATCTCTTTCAATTCATTCAAAATATTTCACTGTTTAACATGTGACTATTGAAAAACTCATGGGTTATTTTTTAACATAAGCGTTGAAGAACTCATCAGTTCTTAAGAGAATCAATAACAATAATAAATAGACCATAAGCAAGACAACTATAAAAAATGAGGCTACTACAGTAAATTGACAATTTTGTCCAATTATTATTAGGCCCTGCCATGTATAAAATCATGGTTCCTGGCCATCACGATCTTACATATTCAAACTCATCAACCTGATGTCCTCAATCAGACGGTCCAAATTACAGTAAGATGACCCACCAACACTGACAGATTCTTTGGCCAACTTAGCCATTTCCCTTGCTGATTTCACAAACTCTTCCCTTTTCTCCTCCATTATATCATTGACCATCCTCTCAACCACATTTCTATCACAAACATCCTTCATGTCTAAACCCAGCTTCCACACCTCACCCACATACCTACTATTCACCTGTTGATCAGCGAAGTAAGGCCAACATATCATTGGAACCCCTGCAACCAAACTCTCTAATGTAGAGTTCCATCCACTGTGGGTCAAGAATCCACCAATTGCCCAATGGGCCAGTACCTCCTCTTGCGGGGCCCAATCTACCAAATACCCTCTCTCCTTGGTCCCTTCTATGAGTTCCTGTGGAATATCTTCCCCTCCATGGCCCACCACGGAGTCCGGCCTTACAATCCACAAGAACCTCCTTTTGCTATTCACAAGCCCATACCAAATTTCTATGAGTTGCTCTCTAGTCATCACAGTAATGCTCCCAAAACTAACATAGATAACAGATTGTTTTTCTTGTTGATCAAGCCAAGAAATGCAGCTTCTGTCCACTGCCCAGAGGCTGTTGGAGGATTCCGATGACGCCTTGTTTTTCTGATCCTCAGGGAGTCTTGTCTTGAGTTGTGCATGGAGTGGTCCAATGGTGTAGATTTTAGGGCATTCGGTGCGGATGTGAGATAGTATGGGTCCTTCTAGGTCTTCAAACGTGTTGAATATGAGTGCATGTGCTCTGGAGCTTTTTCTTGTCGCCATGGCAACATTTTGCAAAGATGAATCTTCGATGTTTTTGGTTTGGCAAAAACTGGGAAGGTCCCTGATTCTGAGGAAACTTTCCATTCCCGGCACAACCTTTACCAACCGATCCATGTCTTCATTTCCTTCAGTTTTTTTATGTCAAAGTAAAAGGGTTCTTAAGATTCCTTCAAATTCAACCGTACAAGACTAAAAATTGAAGTAAAAACCAAAAATTATATATAGAGTTTGTAGTTTTACAATCATTTCATGTGAATATTTTATAAGTGTTCATAAAGAAAATCTTCTTAACTCAAATCAAAGTATTCACTTGAGTCATCAATGATTATAAAATATATAAATTCATTCATAAATTATCATAAAATATGTAGACCCAAATTGTAAAAATTAACCAATATTGTTGTTATAACTTACCTGAAATTGGAATCACCCCGGCTTCGATGAGATCTGGAATTACATAGTAAACCCAAAAGCAACAAGAGCTGATTGTACGAAATTGGATGACCGGAATCTTAAGCTCCTGACCAACATCAAGCACAAATCCTAAAATCCCATCTCCGATGATGCAGTCCACAGGGGGCCTAATAACAACCAACAGATCTCTCAGAGCTGGCTTCGTTTTCACAATCAATCCATCAAATATCTCCGTGACCATGTCACCGGCCCTCGGATGATCGTCTGGCAGACCATCCGGTACGGTCCTGAATTGAAAACTGGGGTATTTGGCAAACCGAGCAACAACATCGGTGAATCTTACGAGGCGGTCATGATTGTGGTCGGAGTTGATGAAGGTGACCTTGAGGCCTGCGAGGACCAACAGCTCAGCTAGCTTGAGCATGGAGTTGACATGGCCTTGTATTGGAAAGGGAAAGATGAGAACATGAGGAGGCGATTGCTTCCTGTCTTCCATTCTTGCAAGTTACTAATTTTTTTGGTGTCCGAAATCTGAATTAGATATTTAGAAATGAGAAAGTAAATATTAGTCATTCTCGCAGAAACCAAGGAAGGCCACCTGTGTGGGCCATAGCGAATACTGATTTCAACGTACTCCGTGCTGACATTAGGGATTAAATTTATATGTCCTACCAAATGAAAGACATATTTAAAGGCCACTTCAAGTTCACTTTATTTTCCATTTCTTGCCTTGAAAGGTGGGAGATTTCTGTCAAAATGGGGGGCAAATTTTGGGAGAGAATCACCTTCAGAATGCGAGGAGAGAGAAGGCAGATATGTAAAAACTGCACAAGAGAGCCGGCTTTGATGCCTAATTAGGTCGGGTTTTTTTAGGGTTTCATTAAGGGTCCACCTATATCAAAAACTGAAGAGTCGGTTATGACTTGAGAGCTAGCTCAACAATGGAAAATGGGACTTTCTGATTTTTTTTTTTTTTGAACATTTGAGCTAGCTGTGAAAAGTTACAGCCGAGCATATTGGGTTGAACAGGAAAAAATGAAAGTTTTGAGATTGTTTTGAAGGAAATGCAACTAATTTGATCTTTCTCCACTTAACTAAGTTTAAGTTGGACATCAACTATTAAATCATGTAATCATAAACATATATCAATGTGTCCATCATGTTTTAAGCATAAAAAACAATAATCTTTATATTAAGATATTCGAGTAACATGATTTTACAATCAGAACATAGATATCAAATTCATTAATTTGCATAAATTTCAACAAGTAATCACATCAAATGCAAATACCATATCAAGTACTAGGATCCAACATGCCAAGTTCATTTCTGATAAAGAAAAATCTATCATGATCAAGAGGTTTTATAAATATATCTGCTAATTGATTTTTAGTATTAACAAATAATAAATCAACATCACCATTAGCAACATGATTTCTAATAAAATGATGCCAAATTTCTACATGCTTTGTGCGAGAATGTTGGATGGGATTCTTAGTGAGATTGATAGCACTAGTATTGTCACATTTAATGGGAATATAATCCATGGTAATCTCAAAATCCAAAAGTTGTTGTTTCATTCACAACATGTGAGCGCAACAACTTGTGGTGACTACATATTCGGTCTCGATTGTGGATAGAGTAACACTATTTTGCTTTTTGGAAGATCATGGTATGAGCATATTACCAAAAAAATTGACAAGTTTCACTTGTACTTTTCTTATCAATTCTACACCCCACATAATCCGCATCTGAATATGAATGTAAATTCAAGGAAGAACCCTTAGAATACCATAAACCAAGGTTAGGAGTATCCCTTAGGCAACTAAAGACTCTTTTAACCACAACTATATGTGACTCCTTAGGACAAGCTTGAAATCTAGCATGTAAACAAATACTAAACATTATATCTGGTCTACTTGTGGTTAAGTAAAGTAAAGAACCAATCATTCTTCTATAAAACTTGGGATCAATAAGCTTACCTCTTTCATCTTTGTCAAGATTAATTGAAGTGCTCATAAGAGTAGCTATTGGCTTACCAAACTCCATACCAAACTTCTTGAGCATCTCTTTTGTATATATGCTTTGGTTGATGAAGGTGCCCTCTTCGGATTGTTTAATTTGAAGTCCCAAGAAGAAGTTAAGCTCGCCCATCATGTACATCTCAAATTCATCTTACATAACTTTGGAAAACTCTTGACAGACAGAATCATTAGTAGCACCAAATACAATATTGTCAACATAGATTTGGACAATTAGTATGTCTTGACCTTTGGTTTTCACAAACAAAGTAGTAT